CACTGTTCATTTCCGAAAATCAGTCGGCTAATTGGCAAAGTTTAGCAAGGCAAACGTAGGATGTCAGTAAGACAGTGGTGTCTGTTGGGCAACACATTTTCCCACACACTATGTCGCTTTCAAAAGCAACCCTATACCTAGAAGTCGATAATAAGATGTCGGGTTCGCTTTCCACTGCCACCAGTGTAGCGTCCCGAGGCTTCCAATGGGGTAGTAGAAGACATAAGTGAGGTTGAATACATGTATGCCGAAAACAATAGGAGAAATGGGGCCTGAGCGTGGCCCGAAGGCCAGCCCACCTGTACAGGACCCAGGCAAGTTCTATTGTGACCGCCAAACGTCAGATAGTCACATAAACAAAGCATTACAGAAGAAGGTAATAGTCTTTCAAAATTGTGAACTAACGTAAGGCATTGCTGTGATAAGTTGAAAGAGATATAGCAAAAAATAAATTGATGCCTAATAAATCGTCTACAACCAACTTCCTCTTAATATCTGAGAGGTTAGACAGACGGCAACTACAATAATGCCTTTCATATCTGCGCAATGTGTAAGGTTGAAATTACGAAATTGTTTGTAAACATTTCCCCTCATTGTTTTACATTATAGCCTTTGTAACGTCTTGAGGCTCCTCATAGAGTGGAAGAAGGCATAAGTGAGGTTGAATACACGTATTCCGAAGACGACGGGGCAAATGGGGCCTGAGTGTGGCCTGAAGACCAGCCCACGTGTGCAGGGGTCAGACAAATTCTATAGTGACTGCCAAACATCAGGTAGTCCAATAAACAAAGCAGTACACCTCTCCTCTCTTCTTTTGAGCGACGTCCTCCATCAACTGCTTCCAGGAATAGACGGTGGAACTCTGGTCTGAAACATGCATGTTACAGGGAATACGGGATGAGCCACTGTCGCATATGTAAGGAGAACCGTGGTGCCATTTCCGAAACCTAAACACGGATTTTGTATGGGGAATTCCGACACGAAACTTTAGCAGATAGTTCACGGCGATGTTGCTTCATTTGTTGACAGCTTGTTCGTGGAAAACAGGAACAAGGTGAAACCAAATACAGACGTCTGTGCGAGTCCTTTCGTTGGGAAGGGTTCAGGGATTCTTTGCCATTAAGGTAGATGCGCCTCCTTCAAATCACGTCCCTTTTACCCGTATCTTCATCTATTGCACTTCGATAGAGTCAGACTTCCTTCTACGCATGTATAGCCTTTGAGTGACGGTGCACAACGCCAACATGCGCTTATTAATCTTGAATTTCTCCACTAAATAGCAGAATTCCTTTGCAGTTTTGTCTGCCGGTTGGATTGTAAACCTCTTGTCGTGAAAAGAGAGGTATCTACTTTCCGACCAAGGGAACCCGATTTTGGGGTCCAACAGATTATCAGGCTCATAGGTATTCTAACCCAAAGCATTACCACCAAGAACAAGCGACACACATCTCCAGATCCTGTGCGATTTGTAGGCACTAAGCATTGCATCATCCCATCAAACCGTTGCTCGTCGGCTTGTTCGTACTGCTCTCTTCCGGAAATCAGTCGATTAATTGACAAAGTTTAGCAACAAAAACGCAGGATGCCAGTAAGACAGCGGTGTTTGTCGGGCAATACATTTTCACGGACACCATGTCGCTTTTAACAAACGACCAACGACGAACAAGCCGCAGAGGGAGACCCCACTTCGGATGGAGCAGAAGGTCTTCAAAAGCACTTTATACCTAAAGTCGTTAAAAAAATGTAGGGTTCGCTTTCCCTAGGCAAATGGGGTCTGAGCGTGGCCCGAAGGTCAGCCCACCTGTACAGGGACCGGACAAATTCTAAAGTTGCCGCCAAAAGTCAGGTAGTCACACAAACAAAGCATTACAACCTTAGGTTGGTCAAAAGATAAGGGATCTAAAGGGACGTCAGTCGGGTTTTTAATGAGTTTTTGTATTCTCTATTCGTGGATTAACTATATGACTGTGGCTAAGCGATTTTATCTTGCTCTCGTCGGCGTAGTCTGGCCTTCGGGCGACTCCAAAGCTAATTCCGCTCCCCTTTCCCTTGCCTGCATGCACCTAAACCTACATTATACCTTCTTCCGGCAAGTACGAATTTTCGGGATGTTACACGTCCCTCATTGTAAGGCACATTGCTCATAAAGCATTAGAGCAGGAGAAAAATATGTCTTTTACGTTAGAAAAAGAAGTCCTCGCATTCCTCAAGCTTAGTGTTCACACTGCTCTTTTGCCTTTCACCTACAAGTGCATTTTAAACATGTCAACGTGCATTAAGAAAGCTCAGTTTACCACCAGAAATTAGAACTGGGTAACTGACGATTGCATCCCAAGGAATCTGGTCATGTCTTCGCTTCTCACATACAGGAGACGTTTCACACTAATGAGTTTATGTTTGAATGGCTGTCGTTGTATAACTAGCCTGCCAACACTCAGGCCGTTGAATCTTACACTTCAGGAAAGGGCTAGTTTTAGGAGCTTTATTCGGCATCGTGTGTTAAAGGGAAGGAAATGAGGAAGGACAGATGGGATGGGAAGCAGATGCCGGCTTAGGGTGAACCTTCACACTCCTCACGCACTCGATTTGTGCTTGATTTCACTTCTTCCATCTCCTCTATAACCACAAACTTAAACACTTTAGTATAAAATTACTGGTGTAATACTTTGTTCGTTTGACCAACTGTATAAAAGGCAGTCATTTTAGGGCAATGGGACTGCTGCCGAGTTGGCTAGCTGTTTGCCAATTCCATTTCCAACCTACAACTCTTTTAAGCCATGCCCAATGGTTTCCGCTACCAAACGGTAAGTGCAGGGTCTCCCAAAGTGCCAAAATAAACTTCTCTATGCTAAAGACGCCCTAATATGTTGCATCAAATGCAATATTTATCATAATTACGTGCCTGATGATTGGAAGCAGATAACATTTCAGTGGATGAAAATCAGCAGAATGCAGTCCATAGCTTGCTGAAGGGAAAGCTAGTTCACAAGGAAAATCACTTCTTGAAAAGGTCCTCATTCTAAAAAAGGAGGGGGTCTGGACGATTGTAAGTAAGATGACCAAAACTCTCAAAATAAAACAAATGCAAGGAAGAATATGAAATTCAAAGACATGGACTCCAGCTCATCCGTTTGCTTTCATAAAGACAATGACGCACAGAAGAATCACTGACAAACAACTGCAAGCGATGCAAATGAGATTCGGACCCACAACCTCATCAGAGAATCAGAATGTCTAAAAGTGCACCTTCAACCACTTGTCCACACTAAGCACTATGACACCACACACTTTCACAACTGCCACACTTTCGTGGCTCTTGTTTGTGCAGCACAATAAGCCTCTTCTTCTGCTCCACCACTCACCATTAGGGACCGCAGTGTGCACTGATGGAAATGATTTCGGTAGTACAGTGCAGGAAGGTGGATGTGGAATGTGTGTGCAAAAAGGGAAGGTGTGCCCATGTGTGTGCGTCAGTAGTGTAGTGGTATCATGCATGCCTCCCACGCATGCGACCCGGGTTCGAATCCCGGCTG